AAAAACCAAAAAAAACCACCCCAAAACCAAAGAATAAAGTATTGTAACAACAAGGTCAAGCCTCATAGACACGATGCTGAGCAAAAGCAGCCAGACATAGAATGCACACAGTATGACTCCTTTCACAGGAAGCTGACATGCAGGCAGAACTAACCTATGGTGATGGAAGATACAACTGGCTACTTTTGTTGGAAAGGACGACTGGGTGGAGAACCCAGTGAGGTTCCTAGAGTGCCACTAATGTTCTATGTCTTGATTTGGGTGAATTCATTCTAGCTCTGTGGGCTTCCTGTCTCTAAACTATTACAAGGTTGGAGTTCCTTCAAGGGAACTGGTAATTAATCAATCAGACACCCACTTCAAGATAGTGAGAAAAAGTTCAAGCAGTCTTTGTACCAAAAACCATAGCTTCTCCACTCAGTTTGATTTCGAGAGAGGTAAGGGTTCGTTAGAATTCTCAGGAACTGAATGGGAGGTGAGGAGATGAAGGAAAAGATCATCAAAAGTGAAAGGAATCCAAAACAAAGTCAAGGGGTAGGCAACCACAGAGCAGTTTCCTACAGTGTGCAGTCCAAAAGTATTCTGGTTCTTGCCCAGATGAAAACCAGAAAGTTCACGTGTTTATGTAATAAGGAGCCAATGCACTGAGCATAAGGGGGAAAAAACATAACAAAACAGGCTTTATCGCTGTTTTAAACACTGGCATTTAAGAGAATTTAAAGTGAGCACAGAGCTCATCAGTATAACTTACCTCGAAGTGGTTGCTCCTCCAATTAACAACGGAATTTTTATAGCTAACCTCTCCATTTCCTTGGCAACAAAAATCATTTCATCCAGGGAAGGAGTGATGAGTCCTGACAGGCCAATTATATCTATTTTTTAAAAAAAGGAAAAAAAAGGACAACAAGGAGGATGAGAGAAAAAGTGGAAAAGTATAAAGACCCCAAGACCTAACACAAACGTCCAATTTCTAATTCTAAGACATCTTTTCCATCTGGGGGATTTCAATTTGCTTTTGGTAGTAAGATGTGCAACTTAAAGTTACAATAACATGCTTGCCAGTTTTAGGAAGCCATGCTTCAGTTCATGAGTTCTCAGAATTAAACATGTCACAGAAACAAAAATGACTACACACAGGAGGAAAAAATCTAACACAAGTGTCCTCCTACAAGAAGCCCGTCCCCATTCCCTCTCTCCAAAGCT